ATTTCTGAAGAAGAGTCTAGGCCCAAAACGTCAGCCTTCCTGCTCCTCTGATGCTGCTTGGCCTGCTGTGTTCATCCGGCTCTACACCTTGTTATCTCAGATTCTCCAGCATCTGCAGTTCCTACTATCTCTGCTATGGATTTGTTGTGTTTCCTATGAATCTGCTCCAGATTTCATCAACTTTCTGTTCCATTCCCTTTAGGTTGAGGTTGTGAACTTCTGGAAGTAGAATCATAAGTTTTTTTTTCTGGGTTTTTACATTTTTTTGCAAAAATATACTTTATTCATAAACAAAAATCTTTCTGGATAGACACAGTTACTAAGACAGGTTGACTCTTAACAGCCGTCTGGGCAATTAGGGATGGGCAATAAATGCTGCTTAGCCAGCGACACCCTCATCCCACGAATGAATAAGATCTGTACAATCTTTGCATATTGTGATGACGCTGTCACTTTAAGAGGTTATTTTGGGCTGGTTTTCTTTGAAGAGAGGTTGTAAGGCAGAGGTATCGAGCCAACTACTGAAGACCTCTTGAATAAACAGTTTGGGAGGCCTTGGGTTTTTTTTCTAAAGTTGGATCACTGGAAGCAGCCTGGGTGTGGTCAGCTCTCACAGATCAGGCTTTTTAATTTTTTTTCTCGTTTTTAGGTTTAGTTTTCAGCAGAAGCTTTTGGGGTGTCCAACGAATTTGAATCTTCAGAGAATGTTCCTGGCTGCTAGTTTTTCTGGATTTTCTCTTGATTATTTTTCCCTCCTGGATTAGAGAACTGCATGTGAGTATCTGTGTCTGAATTTTCCTTTTTGCCAAGGGGTATGTTTATGGGATGTTACTATATTGGAACAGTTAATTAATAATAGTTACTGTCTCTATTATTCTGTTAAGTTACCAATAGAGTTAAGTTATTTTAAATTCCTCTTCCTTTGACTGTATTTTAGCTACGGTGTTTAAATAAATTGTGTTTTGCTTAACACCGAGTACTTTGACCAGTGGCATTGCACCTGGGATATGACACTTTACATTTCCTTTCAAATAAGAAAAAGTTAGGGTCCAGGTTACCTTCTAAAATATTTTGACGGGGCCTGATCTGATCCATAACAATATCAAGAAAAACAAACACTGGAATCTGACATTCCTTGCAGTTGCGAAAACCAAAGGCATTTCTTACTTATGCAGGACATTATTTACATACATTTGAGGCAACGAGGGGGTCTGATAACTGTTTGGAACACTGGCAAAAGCAACTTGTTAGTTGTTCGTTTCACCTAATTGCTGCTCCCACCATTATCAGTATGTGGCAACCAGTCCTGTTTTTCTGTGTTGGATGGAGATCATCCAACTCTCTAGACAAACTTACAGAGATGTTGAGTCAGATAAAGTTAACAATAACATGCTTATTGCATTACTGCACCGTTGACAGGTTGCACAAAAACTTCCACGTCTCTTGCTGGCCTTGATGTGGAGGTGCCGGTGGTTTGACTGGAGTGGACAAGGTCAGGAGTCACACAACACCACATTATAGTCCAACAGGTTTATTTGAAATCACAAGCTTTCGTAGCACAGCTCCTTCATCAGAAAGGGGCAGTGCTCCGAAAGCTTGTGATTTCAAATAAACCTGTTGGACTATAACCTGGTGTCATGTGACTTCTGACCCCCACCTTGGCCTGTCTGTCTCTGTCTATCTCTATTTGAGACTGTTCCCATGACTGCCAATGTAATATATATGTTTAACACATGCTTCCAGATATTAAGATAACAGTGTGGAGCTGGAGGAACACTGTTCCTCCAGCTCCACACTGTGTTATTTCAGTGTGTTCCTCCAGCTCCACACTGTGTTATCTCGGTGTATTCCTCCAGCTCCACACTGTGTTATCTCGGTGTGTTCCTCCAGCTCC